GATTTCATTAGACTAGCTGAAAAGTCAGAACTGCAGCCTCTCAGGGAGGAGCAGTGGAAGATGTTAGTTATTGTACAACTTGAGATGTGTGGACTGTTTCAGCCAGAGGCACCCAGTGTTCCACCAGCAGGGAGCTCCATCCTCCCTCTAATTCCTTCCACTTTTCATTAAGCGCCTTTCCTTTTCATCTTGTGTCTGTGCCTTGTTGAATTTTCTAAGGTCTTTGTTTTAAGACTGTCCTTTTATTCATGCTGTTCATGAAGTGATTACAGTGGCAACCCCAGTCTATTATTATATTTACAAGATATCAACTAGTCATTGTTTCCAGTTCTCGGCACATGTTCCTAATAAGCCATGAGGAGATTTCGAATGATTTCCATCCACAGATAGTTTAAAGAAAATAAATTTTAATCCTAGCTCTTTTTCTTCATCAAGATTTCAGGGAAAGAACTGAAATGTTGTAGAATGGACAAAAGTTAGGAAGAAATTCACAATGTTAATGATCAGTTCTCAAAAATTGCTGTATTTAAGGCCAGCTACCCCACAAAGTATAGATTATAGTTATCTTATTCTTTTTTATGAGTAAGGAAATCTAGTTTATAAGAGATTCCGGGACTCATCTAAGCTCAGAGGAAGCTGGTCAAGGAGGCACTTGGGATTTAAGTGACAAATCCTTTTATAGAAATGTTCCCAAGGATGTCTCTGCCACAAAAGATAATGACTTTCAAGGAAAATGACAAATTTATATTCTCATTTTGAGCCTAAGGAAGTAATGTCACTTTCTATGAACAACATCAAATTTGTTTGTATTTATAGAAATGTGTAAAAATAAAAATAATTTCATTTTAAAACAGTGCATCTCAACCAATCCTTATCTTTGAAAACATGATGAAGCAAGGGAAAACACAAGATGTGAATTATGACTTGAGAAGAAAAATCTGAGCACAGAAAAAGTAAAATAAATGGAATTAAGTTGCCTTTGTGTCTAAGCAAGCTACTTTCTCTAACCTCAGACAATTACTTCTAGACTAAAGAATCATTTTAAGATCAAGATCCAAGAGATTTCAAGACTTGAATGACTTTATAATTGTATTTTAAGTGGTCACACTGCCTTTTTTTGGACTATGTTTTGGAAAGATAAACAAATGAATCTGAATTATTTGTTACTTTCAGAAAATATAGCAATGTGTCATATTATCTAAATGATGCTATTTCTAGGCAGAAGAGCTGAGAAGGTATGATATGTCAGTAGGCAAGTTATATTTCTGAAGGAAGGCTCTTGCTTATCACTGGAGGCTGAAGGACTATACTTTTCTTTCATGTAGCTGAATTTTTATGTTAGGACAGTATGTAATCATCATTGACTTTGGAAATGGGAACATAGATAATGGAAAGTGTGAGCAACTGCATGATTTTGATAGTTTTATACCTTCCCTCAGTTATGTTGGCCTCAGTTTCTTCGTTTTAAAAATGGATATGTACAAGACAGAAAACTGGGGAAGAGGGAGGAATCTATGTGAAGTTGATTGTGAAATGGATATTTACGCCATGGAAATTGGCAAAAGCTACAAATCAGTCCCTCTCTCTGGTTTTTAAATATTCACTCTAGTGTTCATAGATATTTGAATAAAGACTTCAACAGTTAACTGAGTTTTGGAAATACAGATCTGGACAACTTAACAGCCCTCCCTCCTTGTTTCTTTCCTCTTTTCACTTCTTCCTCTCTCCTCCCTTCCTCTTTCTTCCCTTCTTTCTTTCATTTATTTTTTGTTTCTCTTGCCTGATAAGAAGCAGCAAGGAAGAAGTATATTAACAGCTCATATTATAAGACTTTACATGTAAAGAAGTTCTTTAGACATACACACATATCTCTTAATCCTTAAAGGTTGATTTCTTACTGGAACTAATCTTTATTTTTTTAAAAAAATTTTAATTGAATTTTTGTGTATTTCATACATAACGTCTCAATCAATCTTAATCATCTTTATACCCTCTTCCTAACTGGCTCCCTCCCCATACCCCCCCACTGGAATTCATACATTCTATTATTTGTGATAAGGCTTGTTGTGTCAAGTTTAGTGTCCCCAGACGTTCCTCAGTGCAAGTTCATCCACTGAACTTGCAGCCTATCTAGAGTCCCTCACTTTAGGAAGATCAGCTCTTCCTCACCCAACAGTAATCAGTTACCAATATTTCTTCAGCTAAGATTGGGGTCTGCTGTTCATTTCCCTAGTTCTATGCTGGGTTTTTGTCTGTCTGAGTTTGCGTGGGTCTTGTGCATGCTGACATCATTGTTGTAGGTTTAAATGAGCAGGGTCTTGGGAGCTAATAGAATGTTATTTTCATATGGTCATGCACCTCCTCCTGGCTCTTACAATCTTTCCATCCACTTTTCTGAAATGGTGCCTGAGCCCTAGGTGGATGAAGTTTAATATAGGAGTCCTGTCCAAGGACCAGAATTCTGCACACTCTTAATTTCTATGCTTTGACCATTTGTGAACTTTTGTGTTCCTGGCCCTCTGTTGCTTGAGGGAGCTTCAAAAATGAGAATTGAGATATTCATTAGTGTCCTCTTTACCCCTTGTTTTACGAGCCTTAGGTGTAGAGGTTGCATTGTAGATGTGCCATTTAGGTTTGGGCAGTTCACAGGCAATGTCTTTATGTGACCAGTTGTGATACTCTGTAATAGTCTCCATCTGTTGCAAACGAAGCCTTATATTTACAAACAAATATCCCTGTCACCATGCATCTTTGAACTAATCTTTAACTCCCTTTCTCTACTTTCTCTGAGATCTATTTTTTCATCTAATATATAAGCAGTATGCAATCCTTTTGTATAAATAATATTTTTGTATAAAAGAGTACAGATATAGACAGTAAAAATGAAATCCCTTCCCTAGTAGGCTTTTTCACTGTAGTTCTTGCCATGCTTTAAGACACTAATATGCCCTGCAAGCATCCAGAAAGGTTTCAGAATATTGGAACACAGAAATGGTTCCCTTGAAGAACACCTATTAACATGTAAAGCACACAAACATTCTTTCAAAGCCAGTTTCAGGGATAATGAACTAATGGATTTCTAAGAAACCTTAGTTACAAAAGTATACTAAATATGCACTTCTAAAGAAGACCATTATTCAGATGAACTGTGTGTTGCACAGAGGCCCAGTTTTGGTACAAATTTGTGTAATAAATGCAAATGATTCTGTTGGGTCACTTCCAGCCTGGTAAACTATATATATATTTTTTTTTTTCCCCAAGTAGTGAGACACTCAGATCTCTTTGGGTGAATATCTAGAGATATCAAAGGTATAGAAGATTTTGTGAAATTTCAAAGAATGTTATGTTGTTGACCAAACCCTAAATGTACTAGAAATGGAGCTTGTATGTGATAGCTTTTGAAGATGAAAATCAATGACAATTCTCACTGAGAACTACTGACATTTAAAGATATATTTCATTTATACATATATATGTATATATGAAAATAGGCAGTCAGAAAGATCACTGATTGATATAGTTTTAAAGTTCTTAAAAGAAATTTGGGACCCCCCCAATTGTACTTAAATCTTAGCTTTTACTTCAACTGACCTTGTTCACTAAATTTATTTTTACAGTACATTTGCAAGTTTATGTCCACTCTTTCAACTAGTGTTAAAGGATTATTATAAGACTATAATTCCTTCTTAAGGAAAATTTATCCTATTAACCCCTTTGATTTATTACCAGAGATCTTTTAAAGGTAAACTGTGGATACACAGGTTATGGAAAACAGTTCAGACATATACAGTTTATTTGTTGGAGATAAATGTATCATTAAAAAGAATAATATAGGTGTTTCAGTACAACTTCTTCTAGGCTTAGACTGGAGATCTTGTTAGGGTTAGTTAGTGTATGCATTGTGGTAATTGCTATTAAAATAAGGTGTGATGTTAAAAGACTGAAGTAAAGTAAAAAAGCCAAAGGAGATGACAACATGGATTAAAGGAATTACTGAACTCTTATTCCAGAACACATAGATAAATCTTAAAGATCGCTTTCTTTAAACTTGCCCTCTATCTTATTGAAGTATGTAATAAAAAACTCAGTCTGGTCTCAATGTGCTAAATGCTACTGCTGAAAGGGTGTTAGACTGAAAGAATCCAGTGGTGAGTTGTAAGTGACACATGCATGGAACTGTTAACAATTAACCTTTTTCTCCTTCTCAGAATTTGTGGAGGAATTCCCAAGGGATTTGGCCCACAGGAAACTAGACAGCTTTTTTTTTTTTCTCCTTTCAATGAGGAGCAAATGCCTTTTGCAGAAAATACTGCATGCTGAGCAAATTAAAGATAAAGTTGAGACTAACTTAGGTAACATCACCATTCACTGGTTAGTTAAGTAAGTGTTGAAAGAAGCTGGTACAGGGAAAGGCTGGAAAGACTTACTTTTAGCTCTGAGTAATGCTGAAATCCTGTTGATAATGAATAGAGCAAATAAAGATATTACAAACCAGCTCCTGTCAGAAGCGAAGATAAGCTAGGGTGATTTTCAAATTATGTTCGAGAATTCCTAAGGGACAGATGATAAATTCTCACTTCTTTTGAGGATGAATGTACACGAGATGCTAGTGATGCTCTGACAGCGGAATTTTCAATTTTTTCCTTTTTTTCCCCCCAAAAGAGATAGCTTCAGCATGGTTTTGACTATGAAAGGAGAATGATTTTTAGGAAAAGAAACAATCAAAGCTGAAATTAGCTGAATTCCTGTGAGCAGCAAATGAAAATTAATGAAAATTATTGACAGTGTCATTTAGTTTTGTGAGCTACAGTGACATATACGAGGGAAACACCAAATTTACTGTGCAGATAGAAAGCAAGCAAATGCATGAATTGTTTGAAATGCAGGTAAGTAGAGAAGTCAGTGAGAGGCAGAAAAAATTCAAAGATGGTTCAGTATCTTAAACATAAGTTTATAAATTCAAATTTTCAAAGCAAATTAATATTGCTATTCTTTCTTATTTTTATATAGACCCCTTCATGAATTTGCATATCATCCCTGCACAGGGACCATGCTAAGCTTCTCTGTATTGTTCCAATTTTAGTATATGTGCTGTTGAAGCAAGCACAGTATTTCTTATAAACGTAATTCTGTCATTCTTCAGCTAATACTTGTGATCTTACTGTATGTTTCTCTCTATTCCCAAAGTTTTTCTTTCCTCATTGGTGAGGGCCAGTGCTGGAGAAATGTTGCTCCATTCAAAGTGGGCAGCCCCAGTTCTTGGAAGGACAACAGTACTGCAGTATTCCTCATCCCAAGAGTCTGTGAACAGCATGCCTGCCCCTCCACACTTGCTTGAATGTCCCTTCTTCAGGCTCCATTTTCTTTTTGAATTCCTATTTCCCATGATCCTCAAGCTGAGTGGCCTTATGCTGTCTACAAATCACCCTGTATGGTAGGAGGGCTGACTACCAGGCCTGGCTGAGAACCTCACCCTTCTATCCTTGGGGGGAAGGTCAGACTTGATTCCCTGCTCCCTTTAGGGGATTTAATTAGCTCATCTTCAAGGTCATACTCAACCTTAACAGTCTATGAATATTGATTTTTATGACTTGAGGATACTATGATTTTGTGCAGTATCCACTGAATATGCAATACTCCTTTTAAAGGTCTGGCGATTGGATGGTCCAGGTGGATAGGAGGAGCAGAGGAATAGGATACCGCGGAGGAGGTTGCCACAGCCAGCAGCAGACACCGGCATGTGACTGCTCCTCAGACCTTCTGCAGAAAGGACGCTTTCCTGTGCTGCCTTTAAGGCTTATCTGCTATCTAGCTCATGTACTGAGAAGATTATGCTTTTCTCTCCCAATTTGGTATGTGCTTGAAAATCAAAATATTTCTTTAACATGAAACTAAAAATTTAAACATATACTAAAAATAGCATCACAGGGTGGATTTTTTCGTTTGTTTTGTTTCTAAGTTTTCCTGATTGTAAAGTTCTGGATAAGTTCAGAGCAACTGGAATTTTGTTCCTGTTATTGTAAATAAATATGTGGGTCTTTACATTGACAATAAGCTTGGGTCTTAAGCTCCCTCCACCTCTTATTTTTTAAGCAAATGCCAACTCTACAGTTCTATCATTTGGGTATGTAGAAATGTGAGTCTAAAAACTTGTACCCAACACCTCCACAGTTCCTGGAATAACCCCACCCACATCTCCAGTCTCCAGTTTCTGTGATTCTGTGGTGATTCAGTTTGTTTTAGGGGTTCACAAGTCATTTCTCGATGAGTAATTCCAGAAACTCCCTCCAAGCCCACCTTGGATATTACCCAACACCCTACTTGCTCCCTTAACTCAAATCATCAATTTCTCTTCCAGTTTCTACAGCATTCTCTCAGTCATGTAACCCACAAATTCTGAAGCAATTTTTGGCTCCCCCTCTTTCTTTACCCAGCAGTCACTGACTCCTCTTTTCTACTTCTTCAGTTCACTTGTTTGTTTAATTAGTGGCTGCATCCCTTTTCTGCACTGGACACTCTACTAGGAACTGGGAGTGCCAGTAGCTCTGATTTTATGATCTTGTGGACAAGTGCGATTGAAAACCCCCTTGCATTTCGGCACCTTCTACTTTATTCCCTTGCTGCAGTTTCCTTGGCCCTGCTATGCTATCTTGTGCTGATGTTAATCTTCGAATCCACTTTACATATGAGACTGGTAGATCTTCCTAAGGCACACCAACGATCATGTAATTGCTTTGTTCAAGAACTTCCAGTGGCTCCCCACTCTGCATTGGGAGGCAGCCTGTTGTAGTGGATGAGCGCTGGCCCAAAAGCCTGAAGAATAGGCCCTGCGATGAGAATTAGGTAGGCTCTACCTCTGGCTTGGCCTGAAATTCACTAACTTGGAATCCTTTTCTGGATCTTTGTTTCCTTTTAAGTAATGGGTTGGTAGGGGTGTAATGAATTTTAGATACCTTTCAGCTTCTGTTTTCTGTTTACTGTTACTGTTCTATTTTCAGAGCCCTACTCCTCTCCAGACTCAGGGAATTCAAACTGTGCTATCTTTTTAGCCTGTCTATAGGACACGTGTAAAGAAATGTAGCAACACTTTTCTAAAGACTTTTGCTTTTTTTTTTTCTATGAAGTTAGGAAATCTCTTTTTTCCTCAGGAACAGAAGGGTTAACAAATTTCTACTGTCTACTTTCTTGGTGTGAAACCAATTACCAATGTAATGTTTCTATACATGAGGCTACTGCCCACATTGGGCTCGTCCTGAAGACAACACAGGTGGTTGGTCAGAGGGAGACTCAGGGCAGCTCAGGCTGACTATTGCTTCATGTCAAGATGTCAAACAGAAGATCATCCTTTGGTGCACAGTGAACATTAGGGAAGGCTGGAAAGTAATTACTCTCCCCAGGTTGAGCACTGGCCACTGGCCGCTGGCCTTTGTCATAGTGGTTTCCCTGCAGTACCTAGCTCAGGATCACTAGTGATGCTTCCTCTAAGAGGTTTCAGTCTTAATATGCCAAGTCTCTTTTCTACCAACATTCGGGGCAGAAGGGGTAAATTTGGCACAGTCAGGTTTAACACACTGATATTTAAGAGTTGATGTTTCTATACATGAAGCAGATATTGTGAATATATTTGGATTTATATTAGAAAAACACCCTATGATCCCAGAATAGATATACATAAGTCCACTGATATTATCCCCCCTCTTGGAAGAGTCTATGACAGATTTATTGTTGAATTATAGTCATCACAACACCATAAGGAACAGCAAGGAAAAATGATAGTCTGTTGTATATTACCATGATGTTTCTGTGTTCTTCAGGGTGATTATACTGATTCTAGAGGTATATCATATTGACTACCGGTTCCAATATTTCCCACTGCTGTGCCCCCTCTGTGACCTCCACAGCTATGGAGTCTGCCTGCTGGTTTCATAGGGACCTTGTGTGCAGAGAGGAGTAGGAGGGGAAGATGAGGCGGCTTCTCAATCATAGCATTGCATTGCAGTTATGTCCTTGGATTTCACTGACACACAGCAATTGGCAGTTTGAGTTATAAAGAAAATAGTAATGAGGTGAGGAGCCTGTTATGTAGCTTATATAGTTTTTGATTATTTCTTTTTTAAAAAAATATTTTATTATTTTTATTTTATGTGTATGAGTGTATTGCCTGCATGTATGTAAGTGCATTGGTGTTGTGCAATGCCTGCAGAGGTCAGAAGAGGGTGACAGATTCCCTGGAACTGGAGTAACAGATGGTTGTTAGCCACCATGTGGGTGCTGGGAATCGAACCTGAGTCCTCTGCAAGAGCAGCCCATGCTCTTAACTGCTGAGCCATCTCTCCAGATTATTTCTTTGTAAAATTATGCTTTATAAAACCATGTCTACATTGTTTAGAAAATGACTGATTTCTTAGAGGAAGATATGTTAGCATTTCATGGCTGCTGTGTACACATGAATAAACCAAGTTCTAGAAAATTTGTACTTGCCCCATAATTTCATTAGTCTGGTTTTCCAAGATAAAAGTTAGCTTCAAAAATTCTAGGTATGCCATACCTCCTCATTTAGTTATGTTTTCTCCAAACAGGATATTAGCACTCTTCCTTGGTTGAGTGGGAATTTATAAAGGGCCAAGAACAGTGTATGTCACATGGCAAAGCTTCAATAGAATAATAAATGTAAAAATTAATTAATTAAAAATGAAATACCAGCAATGATTTTGGGAAAAATTTGACATTATCAGTAGTTCACACATGAAAGTGATTTTAAGATTTTAAGAAATGAGATTTTATATAGATGGGTAGAATCAATCTTTCTGTTAAAAAAACAAATCTGTTTTATACAAATTATCATTCATGTTCATCACAGAAAATACACTTGAATATAGGTTAAAATAAAATTCCACTTTCCAGAGTCATTCATCTTAATATTTTGTTATACCCTTTTGCCAGAAATTTCCCCTCTGTGTTTACAATATATATTACATACATTTAAGAATGTACATGTGTGCATATTCAATTATGCTTAAAGGCAAACATATATATGTATACATATTTTAAATATGTTTTTATAGGATCTGTTTTTCTCATTCAACAAATCCTACAAAGCAGCTTAAAAATCATTGGTTACTCTGTGGCAGACCCTGGGGTCTGAGGTGTATGTTCTACATGGATTAACTTGCCTGGTTCCTACAACTCCTACAAGGTAACGATCATTATGTCTATGTTATGGAGGTTATGAGGATTGCACGAAGGTACTTATCAAGGCCACACAGCTGGTATCTGACCTAGAATTCCAATCCACTGTGCTCTGAATCACTGGACTTTCATGCTAGACATTTCCATGGACCAGGACTCATTACATTTATAGTAGTTAGGCAACATCTTCATAAAAGTATATAAATCCATCATCATGAGCCACAAAGTATATTCAACACATTTTCTTGAAAGATTTTGGTACCTAGATTCAACTTACGACTGAAATTTCTACAACATGAAAATAAAAAGATCTGGGTTTGTTTTCCTTTCTGCTTCTAATCAACTGCACAATCTAACACAAGACACCATGTTTTTGTTGGTTTCCCTTCTGTTGAATGTTAACATAAGGGGGTCGGGCTAGGAGGTATTTATTCACCTACAGTTTATTGAATGAGTTTGAAAAGGCAATCTTGATACTGAGATTACAAAAGAAGCAAGATACAGTCCTTTCCCTTAAGCAGAATCCCTTACAGTGTACTGTGTGTGCTGTGCACTTTGAGAGAGGTGTGAACACACTGTTGATGGAGTCAGCTGGAGGGGAGATGCCACCTCCTCCTCATACTTCCTGCTCTGAAACTCTAAGATGACAGGCCTTTACACAGAGCCTACCTGAACACTTCATTGATGAAAATTGCACTAACAATGGATTGTTAGTCATTCGGCTTATTTGGGGGGGGGCGGCTTAAAAGCTTGGAATCTGTTTTTAGTTAGCTTATTGAAAATTAAGAAATCATTTAGGCCTTGCAGAATTTAGAAAATGCCATTGTTTCTTTTTCATTCCGTTGGGAAATAAAGCCGAGTGTATAAAAAAACTTATTCCATACGAAGAATGGATATTTGTGGTTTTCTTTGTAGGTG